AATAGAATCTCTTATCGATCATTTATCTTATTATTATTATCCATAGCTTTCAATAATTTCAGTAAACATCATTTTGATTTTATCAACAATTGATGTGTATGATGTTTTTTTTTTCTACCATTATATATCATTCTTCAATTACAAAAAAAAGCCTGCTAACGAACTGATAAACATATAATTTTGTAATGATCTATGCGAATGTACATAGAAAATCTGAATCAATTCCATTGATTATAAATAGTTTTAACACAAGATTAGAAAAAAAAGCCACATTCACAATATTGTTCCTAATGATCATCATCACTTAAACAAATTTGATATAGATCCAAATAGATTAGCTTTTCGTTTAGCTGTCTTAGAAAATCTCATAGTTGATACACACATATTAACTTACCACACCATATGTTTTATGTTCAAAACAGAGATGGAACTGTTACTAGTTATCGGTGTGTCTTCTTAATTTTTTTGCACTTAGCATCTCATAGAGACAGGTCAGTGTCGATATAGGGATTTCGGACCTATCGAGTGGTCTTGTCGACTCAGAATAGTACTGATCGTGGAAAATCCAGACTGATTCCGTCTCTGGTTCAATACAGAGTTACTCGTTTTCCGTCAACTCTAAATGATATATTCAAATGTTTTATAGGAACAGTTTAAAATATACGAACTGAAATCATTGTCCGAAATTCAGTTTACTGTTCATAGAATATTAAGGATGCATTTGAATAGCAATCTTTTGTTGTAAAATTAGTACAGCTGTTTCATGATTATCAAAATGACCTATTAATACTAACAAATACTGTTAATAAAAAAGAAACGTAAAACAAATTCAAAGGAGATATCAAGCATTAATTTTATTCTTCATTGTCATTTTGATTCTTTCAATGAAGTAATACTTGAATCAATGCTTTGGCAGAAAATTGATCTATTATTTATTTTTCCGACAAACATCAATGTTGTTCCCGCGACACTTGCTCTCATGATACTTCCTCTCGTGACATTGAGAGAGCTAAGGGTAAAGCAAAGAGGAATGTCAGGTCTAGGGCTATGCTTGCATCTAATTTCAGTATGCTTCTCATTGATATTTAATTGCTACGAGTTCTAATATAATGTTGTTGGAAAAAAAATGTCTCGGGGACAACTATCACGGATGTTTTGTTTACAACCAATAAATGTTCTATGATCAATACAAGCTGATGACAAGCAATCCTCTTTTTATTCTTTGGTTTCGATTGATTCAACTTTTATGTTATGTTCTAGTGCTTGGGTTTCATCATATAAAGTATAGATAAGAAAGCGTGTCTCAAAATAATGAACATTGAGAAGGACGTATGTGTACAGCGGATTTAATAAAATCATATGTCGAATGAGCATGTTCAATGATTATTGATATTATTAAATGATGGTTGAAGTGAACCAAAAATATAAAGATCAAATTAAGTATCCGGTGAAATCCATTTAACTAAAATCTTTGTATCCTGAGAACGTCTTTTAACAAATTTTCGATGACATGATCATCGTAAACTAAGTGTAAAAATAAGATGATGAATTGTTATCTTACGACATAGATTAACAGTTTTATCTAAATTAGAAATTTCTCCATCAAGTAATAATAAAATTTGTCGTAATTTATTCAATATAGGTGGATGATTATGTAACCATTTTAATGGTTACATAAAATTAGTCTCGCCTAAATCTGTATGCATGTTTTGAATGAATTTTTTTTACCATTTATTGTTGAATATTCATCAGTAATTGCTTTATTAAATAATGGATGAAATTTTGAATCGGAACAAATTTTACTGTATTGACAATTAATAGAAAGAGTTAATTTAAAAAAAACAAACTCTGACGCACTAATTCAATTTTATTATTATCATTCATTGATCTACTAGAAAAATAGGTTCATTATGAATTCTATAATGATCATTTTTATTATTAGCAATATCCGATATAAACCTATTGATAATAGTTCGCAATTCGACTTTGCAAAAGTTTAATATGAATATTTGATTTTGCTATTCGTTTATCTTCAATAATGGTATTTGAATGTCATAAATAAGAAACACAAAAAGTTTTACTATCCATTATTTCAGAATTAAAATTATATATATATATGATCCTTGTTGTACATAATTTAGTTCATTATTTCTTATATGAGAATTATAATGAGATGCAATGTTTGTTGGAATAATAAATTGTATAGTATTTATTTTTGAGTTAATTCAAGTTCAAGAATCAAGTTTAACTCTATTTAGCATAGACTATTTGGTTTATAATCAATTTTTATAATTGAAAATTGAAAATAAAACATTTTTCAGAGTTAATAAGGCTTATTCTAAGCATATCTCTTATTTTATCAACTTGTTCGTACAATTAGCTCAATAATCTTGATTTTTTGCCGGTTGATATTGTTGTCCAACTTTATTTTTCTCTTATAATTCAGTATGAACTTCATATTCAATATCAATATAAATAATAGATAATTAATTGCATTTTATTCAATTACAAAATTAATTAAAGAAATAGTTTTTCTTCATGGATACAAAAAAGACAATACTTTCTGATTAGAGATGTACGGGACCAAAATTTGAAGGTTTATCGAAACCAAGGGAAAGAGAAAATGCTGAGATCAGAACCGTGAGAAAGGAAAGTTGCTAAGACTGGGATCATGAGAAAAAGAAGCTACCAAGACTTGAACTGGAGCCACAAGAAAGACAAATCAAAACTAGAAATATTGAAAAAAAAGTTGTCCCAACTGGTACTGAAGGTTACAGTTAAATATTCTATGGCTTTAAGCGCATTTTCTTATAAATTACATCAATCAGAACAAAATTCTAGAAAGATGACCCAAATAAATGTTGGTCATTGACTGCAAAAAGAAGAAAAATGAGTATTGAAGAATATTTTTCGACATGATATAAATAAATTGTGGAATAGTTTTCTCTAGACCGGGATTGAAAATCAACAAAAAAATTCTTTCGACACATTTCTATTATAAATATATTAATTCAACATTATTAGGATAACTATTACAAAATATATAGTTCAGAGAAACATCATTTGAAAAAGATTCATTGGTTAAATTGTGAAGCATTCTAGAAATTAAGTTCCTTTATCAAATAAAGCAATTTTTTCTACTGATAAAATTAGTACTGAATTATATTTAAACTTTTCTGAAAAGATGATACATTTACAAACACATGATTTATTTTTAAATGATATGTAACGAGAAATTTCTATGAAATTAGATTATCTTTATTACAAGATGACAAATGAATGTAGTTATAGTTGATTGTCAGTAATGGATTCACATTAGAAGAATTATCTTTCATTGTTAACTTCATCTTAGAACAAGTAAATTTTTGTTAATGTTCTCGATTTTATGGCAAACTTGAATTCATTCATTGATTTGAAAAAAAAGAATGAAGTCATATGACTAATATTCACAAATGAAGGCATTCTATCTTTACTTTTGTTAATCAAGAAAAGAAATAGTCATTTAAATGTTTTAAAAGTTTTATTGATCGTGTCTATAAGAAATGTAGAAATATTGATACCCCATTGTCTTTCCATTTTATCCATCACTATTAATTTCTATTATTTTAATGAGTTTTTTAAGTCGCTATTGTTCGAGTACTTTAAAGAAAATGTTTAATAAAACTCATATCTACTTATGAAGTAATATATTAAAAAAATTTTTTTGATGGTCAATTGTTTATATTTAAGACGCCTGCAAGGTACATTTTGACAATATATGATACAATTATTCCATAATATCAAATTTGCCAATAAGATATTAATAAAAAAAAAAGAAGAAGAGAGGGTCCTTGTATGCATGATTTTAAGTTTTATTATAAAACAGATACATGTTCTTATCTAAAATGTACTTCTTTGTAGTATTTTACATGTAATCGTTTTCTATCTTGAAAACAAAAGCATCGAATATATGAGCAATAATTAATAATATTCATATTAATGAATAAAAAAAATATTATCGTCTTGTTTGAAATCAATTTCTTGCTTATTTGTCTTTATTCATAAACTAAACCTTAAACGATGATTGTATCAATACTAAACTTTGCACAGTAATGTTTATTTTTTTTATCAACATAAAAAAATATTTTTTTTCCACTTGAGTTAATCAAATATTCAAATATACTAAATTTTTCAATTCAATGTTCTAGTAAATATGAATAATTTCTTTTTTGTTTGTGTCTGAAAAAGTAAAACAACAAACGCATTGACACAAATCAAACAATATATTTTAAGAAAAAAGAAAACCGATCAAACAAATAAAAATATTCTAGAAGATTTACTTCATTAATAATTCTATTGCATGTCAAAGAGAACAGAGTTATTTTAAATTAATGACAATGCATTATTGAGTACAGAAGTTAGTTAAATTGCTGTTTTTTTTAATACCCATTTTAATTTGCTTTTGTATAATTAAAATTAAAATTAAAATTAATTTTAAGTTTGATCTTATTATTATTATTATTATTGTTATTTCTCCGTCTGTCTTTGTCTTCAAAAACTGAACAGTACTCCAGCAGTAATGAGCGCAGAAAGCAAATGCAAAAGAAACAAAGAAAAAAAAAACGAGACAATGACAGTGACGAAAAAAAAAATGAGAAGAGAAGAATGAATAGCAAATAAAAATGGAAAGAAGAAAAAAAATCTCACATTCACTCACAAATACACAATTTTTTTTTATTTATGATGATAGAACAATAAAAACACCTTAGCTTGTTTGAAGATTCGATCAGTTTTTTTTTCTATTGACTTTTTCATTGTCAAGAAAAAAAAAAAGAAAATCTCTTTCTCTCTCTTTCTCTTTCTTTTGCTATGCCTCATGCACATACACCGGGGTATCTGCTCGTAGCCTGTTTTTTCAAATTGAGAAAAAGAAAATTATTGATGGAATTTCAAGAGAAAAAAAAACTTGAGGAATGAATGCTAAATATCACAAGAAAGAGAATGAGAGAGAGTGAATCAAATTAAACAGCAAACATTTGTGGTACATATAAATCCGAATCATTTAAAGATGTCGATAGATCATCAAGACCAACAAGACCATTATTGCTACTACCACCATTTATAGATGAGGATGGATCGCCTGTTGTTCCAGAAGAATCACCATTACCATTTGGTGCATACATAGTTGCATAAAGACAACGCTAAAATTTTATTTAAAAGAAAAATTCATTGTTTTATTGACAGAAAATAACTAAATACAAAGAATAATTTCTTACTTTTTTTGCTTCATTCTCCATAGCTTCATATGGATCTGTATACAGATCACAATGTAAATCATTGTGATTTGGTAAAAGTCCCCCAAGATTAACGTTCGGATTTGAATTACCACCACCGGTTGCATATAAATGATGTAAATCTAAATGTCCATGATGTAAATGATGAAGTTCACTATGTGATATTGGTAATGGTTGAGCTAATGAATGATGCTGCTGTTGCTGCTGTTGTAAAAGATGATGATTAACATTCATTTGTTGCTGTTGTTGTTGTTGTTGTTGTTGTTGTTGTTGTTGTTGTTGTTGAGAAGGATCTGAATAAGGTAATTCAATAAGTCCATTTTTACCTTTATTCGTTGTTACTAATGTACGCCGTACAATGGGTCGTAATTTATACAAAGGTGGTTCAGGTGTATTAGCCGTGATACATTTTGGACATAACCATGTTTCAGGTATATCATCACTAAATACACCTTCACTTGCAGACGAATCCGGATGAGCAGTCTAGAATGAAAATAAGAACAGAAAAGAAAACGATACTTTTTTTTTTTCTACTATAGAAAAAAGCATAAACATACATGAAAACAAGGTAAATGATGTATTTCCATACAACGTTCACATTCATAAAGAATTTCTTCTGGTTTAAGTTGTGATAATTTTCTTGAACCTTTCTTTTTTGAACATACTTGACACGAAGCTGTTGATGGTAATATTGGTGCAATACATTGTTTTGTTAAACAACATTGTTTCATTTTTCCAACACCACCAAATTTTGGCATATCTTTACAATGTACACATTCAGAACAATCATCACGACAACATGGTTCACATTGTTTACACCTATTTTAAAGAGTTTTTGTTTTTTATATATAAAAATTTTTAAATAGAGAAAAAAATAAGATTCTTACCGAACACGTTTATGTCGATCTTTTGCAGTAGATGTTTTATCTGTATTAGTTTGATAATGTTGTTGTGTCGGTGTTGTCGGTGATGCTGTTGTACTATATTGATTAGTTCCATTTGTATGATGATAATTAGTAACATAATGTTGTTGTTGTTGTTGTTGTTGCTGTTGTGCTGCATAATAGTTAGCCAAATTTGATTGTGATTGTTGTTGCTGTTGTTGTTGTTGAGATGAATTTGAACCAGCTAATGGTCCACTTAAAAGTATCGTAGCCGATGGATGTAGTGTAACAACATTTGTAGTTGTTTGTTGTTGCATTGCTAATGTATCATATTGATGATGATGAGAATGAGATGGAGGAGGATGCGGTGATTGTTGTTGATTATGAGGATGATGATGGTGATGGAATGACGAATGATGTTGTTGCTGCATATCGTCACCACTTGTACTGCTCTTACGTTTTATGCCTCGTAAAGTCTCCGTTATTATTGTTCGGTCGTTCTGAAACATATGATACATCTTATGTCACAAAACTACAATCAACAACTAGTATGATACGTGCGTACACAAGTCGAGTCAACATGACTTTTGTAATAGTTTATTTAGAGCTCCGACTCTATGTACATGTGTCGTCTTTATCTTAATGAACCTGTTGTCTCTGTCTATGTCTATTGTCTTAGCTTACTTGACTGTGATTTGTATCGATAGATAGTTGTTGATTATAGTTGTAATGAATTATCGTTTGGCCAGTTATTGTTAATAAATGATCGTTTGATACATGATCAATAAGAAAATGCTAAAAGATAATACATTAAAGATTGCATCATATTTGCTCTGATACAAGGTTAAAAAAAAGAAGAATGTGAGGTCAAATGACCAAAAATGTATGCGTGTATTTATGGACAAACATGAGATTTTTTTCGTGTAAATATCTTCTCATAGTACATGTAGACATTCTCATACTTTTTTTTTCCTTTTTGCAATAAGATACTCATTCCTTTATTGATCAGGTTTCTTTCAAAATTACTTAAATAGTACAAAAACATAAGTTAATCACATCATTGTCAGGAAACCTTAGAGTGAAACTTTTTCATCTTATTTGTCTAGAAAACTATTTTTAAAAATATACAAACGAGTAAGGAATAAACATATATAGAAGATTTTAGAAAACGATGTACTATTGACAGAATTTATTCAATAACAGATACTTTCTCAAGACAAACTCCTATTCTCTATATTTATCTCTGACACAAGAGCGACCTTTTCCAAAATGACATTTCCATGAAAACTTATTCGTATTGTTATATCTCAAGAATCAATTATCAAAATTGATAGTATTCAAAAGATAAATGAAGAGAAAAAAAGAAAGCTCTTTCTGTTTAATTTACCTCCATTGTATTCGAAAGTTGTTGTATCTGTACAAGATCTTCCGGGATCGATTTGTCTTTCAATTTGCGTCAAAGTGTACATAGTATTTGTAATATGTCTAGTTTAAATTGTGTCAAACTTTGATAATGTTGTTGTTGTTGTTGCTCACTGTCTTTATTAGTATTGTTGTTGTTCACTACCAGCAATCGACTTGTTCGACAAGGTTTCAGATCTAAAGACAGAGCAATCGGACGCGCGCAACATAGAGAGAGAGAGAGAGAGAGAGAGAATGAGACAAAGGGGCTTCCTTTTTGCTGCTCATCATTTGAACAGAATAACAATGGACCTCTCAAAGAAACGGAGGAGGAGGATAGCTAGTAATAAGAGAGCATATTAACAAAAAGAGACACAACATGATGTTTTTCAAGAGAGACAGAAAAGAGGACTTGATTGAGCAGCATATTCCTACCTGTATGCGTTAATCGATCGCAATTATTTATATATATATATGTAAAGAAAGAGAAACAGAGAAGATTTTTGTAGAACCAAAACTCGAGACAAGCAAAAGCAATAGCAGAAATAAATAGGAGCAACGAACAAGAATAAGAGAGAAAAAAGAAGGGAAAACGACGAGTGTATGTGTGTGCGAACAACGAGTTTTTCCCTTTTTCGCCCCTATGCGTTCATTCATAAAAGATTTGAGTAATTTGCACACAGATTTCTTTTCTTCTTCTTTTACTCTCTGTCTCTCTCTCTCTCTCTCTCTCTCTCTCTCTCTCTCCTTTCTTTGAATGATCAGAAGACAGCAATAGCAGAGAAAAGGGAAGGAAAATTTTGAACAAAGAACAAGACGCAAGCGCGCGTCGTGCGTAGCGAGAACATATTATTATGATTGTGTGTGTGATTGCACAAGCGAGAGAAAGTGATTGACGAGTGAGAACAGAGGGAGAGAAAAACGAGGACGCCGAATGATCAGGTTGTGGATGGCGGTAGTACGCATTAATTATTCTCTTCTTCTTTTTTTTCTTCTTTCTTTTTTAAGTTTTTTTTTGTCATTTCAAACAAGAATTTGAAATTGATGGTCTTGTGTGCGTATGTGTTTCCAAGTGCAACCCGTGTCCCCTCTTCAAATTCATAATGAATGTGTGTGGTTGTCCAAGAAACAGAAAGATTTCATTTATTAATTAGCAAACATAAAGTTTTCTTTCTTTTTAAGCACATAAAAAAAAATTAACAACAAAAATCAATGTTCTCATTTGCCTATTTTCATTGCTTTCTTTTTTTTCCCTGGCAATGTTTGAGATTGTCAACATGAGATATAGACCAGACAAGTTATAACGACAAAGTGTTTGTGTATTTGAGCAATGAAATGAAAATGGGATGAGATGAGAATGAAGGAGAGAAGAGAAGTTTTGCAGATCAAAATGACAGCAACAAATGAAGACTAGTAAAAAGATGATGATGATTATTGAACTTTTCTGTCTCAATCTTCTAACAAGAACATATTTTAAGAGTCAAGTCAAGTAGTCAATCAAAATACGAACTGTTTTATTTCTTTCTCATTTTCTTTTTCTACTTCTTAATATAACTATATATCTCTATATAAATTTTATGAAATACTTTTTTTAAGAGTATTTATAAGAGTTTGAAATGAGAAGAAAAAAAAAAGAATAAAATCATGTGTATAAGAAAGATTGAAAAAAGAAAGAAAAAAAGTCATGATTCGTTTCTTTTTATTGTCAAAAAAAAATGAAACAAATGTCATATTTCGTTGTCGATTTTTTTTCGGTTGAATGGCTGGTATAAAAAGAGAATTATGTAAGGAAAGAAAAGGAAAATTGTTCTTTCTTCTTCCTTTCTTTTCTTTTCATACAACCGAATGACAATTGTTCACAAAGTTAATCGATACATTTTTTTTTTATTTAGTCAATATAAGAAAAAAAGAAAAGTAAATCTTTGAAAGCTGCTTACCAAATCTGACTCGTTCGTTAAAATACACCAATAACTCTCAAACAATCGTTTTATAAATATATATATACATACATACATATATCTTTATATCCTTCTTAACTCTAGAGACAAATGAGAATGATGATGGTGTTATTATCAACATAGCAAATCGTTCAACATGCTGGTGATGATGGTGAATATTGATGACAACACGCCTTTGCGCGCTATTCATTTGTCTCCTGAGACAGTATGGAGTGCGTGCGTATGCAGGAGGCAATAACAGCAAAAAAATCATTATGATCACCATCTTCTCTCTCTTCTCCTTCGTTCTACACCCAAAGTGACTATTATCTGATTATCTTAAATACTTGCGCGCTTCTCAGCATGAAATACCAAGTGTTACCTCTAGAGTCTTCTTCTTCTTTTTCTTCTCTTGTTCAAGAACGAGCAAACGAACGAGTACGATCACAAATTGTTCTTTCTCTCTCTCTTCCATCTCATTTTCTCTATGTTTGAAATAATGAGACAAATGTTCGATTGTCGTGCTTGAATATTCTTTGCCGAAAAGGTCAGCAAATGAAACAGAGTGAATGAAAGATATAATGTCATAGTTCATGTTATACAATTGTCAATGATAACCTCAACATTAAGGTCAATATTTCGAATCGAATATATAGTTTTGCACACAAAACAACCTTCATTTATTCTTCTATTCTCTGTCTAATAGACAAGAGACATGGATACTTCCATGTTTGCTATCGCGCTGGGGCACACACATACAAATACATATATATATATATATAAATAAATATATATATATATATATATAAAGAGGAAAAGAGAGGAAGAAGAGTAGATCCGCTCCGGAATAATTCGAAGAGGAAGACATCCAGAATCGATAATTGACATCATGAGACAGAAGGGAGAGAGGAAGAGGGATGCTTGACAAGAGGAGATGCGCGTTCTCGCACACTTGATAGAATCGATGAACGCCAATGACGATGAGTAAGAGAGCCTAGTTCAAGAGAGAAAGAAAACGAGAAGTCAGTTTCTTTTCTTATTCTACTATTACAACCCATATTCAACATAAATACATCTATTGATTATGCAAAAAGACAATTTCATTTAGGATTCACTTACTTCCTACTAATCTACTAACTTTGCATTAAATTTAGTTCGAAACCTTTCGATCTATGACTACTAGAAGTTCTCTTTTTTTTCTCTTCTCAAGTTATCGTACTCACTCACTCGTTTGTATGCATTTTGCAAAAAAAAAGATCAAATGCCGGAAAAATTAGTAGAGGAAGTGCTATGAAAATCAAAGCGAGGCTAATTTAGGCCGAAACCCTCTTTATTTTCTTTATATAACTAACTTCTGTTATATGTATGTTTCATTCTTCTTCTTCTTCTTCTTTTTTCTCGCTAACAACAACAACACTTTCCGATTGACTTTTGTTCACAATACACAACAGATACAATTGACTCCATTCAAACATCATAAAAATAAAAGAAAAGAGTGTGTACCGTTTTTTTTCTCTTTTTTTTAATCACTAGACCTAAGTTAAAAGACTTTCTAGACTAACGATAGCAACAGAAAGAGAGAGGGAGAGAGAGAGCAGAGTGCCACTAATTCGATTATCTCGAATTGCAGTCTTCGTTCGTCTGCAAATTAACATGTTTGATTTTTAACGATTAAGCAACATTCTCATAATTTGTGTATGCATATACGAGATAGAATAAACGAGATCAAAGCAAGAAAGACCGAAGTCAATGATGATGATGAGGATGGCGACCGGCGATCAAGTACTTGGCATAAATAATTCTCACTCACTCACATCCACTCATTCTTAAACTGACTCAAAAAAAAATCTGTTCTACATCAATAATAGATATAGCGTTAAAAGGCCTACTAACAACATCATCTTGTAAGCGTATGCATATACGCACACGCAACATACAAAAAAAAGAAAGAAAAAGGAGTCAAGCTAAAATACTCATAAGAGGTAGTTGACGTCGCTACTATTGTTTGATGTCTTTATCTAGTGATAGTTATACTCTATAAATTGAATGAAAACGATTAAATTGAAAAAAGTAATCATAGTCTATCGGAAAAACTTCTTAATCGTTTTTCCTTTTATCTTTACCTAAAGTGTTGATTCCATTTTGTTCTTGTTTCTTTTGTATATATTCCAAACTGAAAA